CAGCAATGTGGTAAACATGATTCAAAGCACCAAATGCCACTTAGGTTGCTACATTGGGGAAACCACCCAGCAATTAAATGGCAAAATGAATATGCACAGACACTCCATTAAACACCACAAAGAAGGATGGTATTGCACTCCTGTGGGATATCACTTTTCCCAGCCTGGCCATTCACTGAAGGATCTAAAAATCAAAGTACTAAAAGGGGGTTTAAAAATACCCAAGATAGAAAAACATTTGAAGCCAGAGTAATCCAATTGTTTAACAGCAAGAATAGAGGACTAAATATTGATTTGGGTTTCCTGTCCCACTACCAACACTACATGAACACTCTCCCACATTATCTTACTGTTCTGTCATATGTATCAACATCTTAAATTGTGTTCCAACGATATGTGTATTCTATCAATATCCAAAATACCTATGCCTTCCTATACTCTTATGCATGTATGCCTATATATGTGACTGTGCATGTGTTTGTGTGTGTGTGTATGTATATATGTTCATGTGTGTATGCATATATATATATATATTTGTGTGTGTGTGTGTGCCTGTATAAAGTGTGTGTGTGTATATGCATACATGTGTGTGTGTATATGTGAATAGGTGCATGTGTATGTATATGGGTCTATGTATGTGTAGGCACATTTGTACATGTGTAGGTACATGTATTGGTGCTTGTGTGTAGATGTATGTATACATGTTTATGTATATATATTTGTGCATTTGGTTGTATTTATATGTATATTGTTGTATGAACCTGTGTATATTCTTGCGTATACTTGTACATGTACACGACTTGTGTATATGTATATGTACATGTGTGTGTGAGTGTGTGTGTCTGCGTTTGCTGGGTATAGGCCTTCATGCATGTCCTGCAACTCTTGGATAGGAATTCATGCATTCTTAATGTAAGTAATTATTTTGTTTTTACTTTCCCCTTTTAGCACCATCATCTGCACTGTTTGCTTGTTTCTTTTTCTCTCCCCTCTCACTCTGTGATCTTCACACAAGATATTTTCGACCCTCTGCGAGAATGGAGTCTATTTTCTATCAAACCTGTGTCTTATCTACAGTCATGTCGCTTTAACCCCTGTATCACAACTCAACTTTGAATTCCATGTGTCATCTTTGCTCAGAAATGCTTCAGACGTGAGAAAGGTATTACAAGATACACGTTTTATCTGTTTTTTACATCTACATCACTGGACTCATAAGGCCACACTATGTTCTTAATATTTATATTTGATGGGAGGGTTCATAAAGACCTAAAGATACAGACGACAAAAATAGGTCAATGCAGGTGAGAACAGAACTGCATTCACTGCTATATAAATAAAACACAAAATAAGGCTCATTTTTAAAATTTGAGATAAATAATATTGTATTGGGCAATTTGTACCTCTAGTTAGCTTTATTTCTGCAAATATCTTAATTGTGATAGTTCTTCTGTTCTTCTTCAAGCTATCCATCAGTTTCTCTGGACAAGTATGACAGTAACAGAAGGAAAAATTGTCCAGAGAAATTTATGTAGGACTTAAAAGATTGATTTTAGTTATTACCTTTTTACTCCTTTAATCTTTTTCGCAACAGATCCTGCTTTCAAGATGGCAGATTTTATGCCTTTCATTTGTGCTTTCCCACAGCTGGGCCCCTTATTCATTTCCATGTTCATTTTCAGTGCTTTTTAACTGCCAGAGCACCAGACTATATCCGGAGAGCTATGCACACACTCACCCATAGTTTCACAGTGTCATCTGTTTGGCAATGTCATGGGCTGCTTCACACTCAAATGGTAGAACATTTCTTCTAAACTTTATTTCCAAAATAGGACAAAATAACTAAATTCATATATGAAAGAAACATTATATAGATATGAATACATTTTCTATCTCGCTGCGATGGCCCTGCCTCATTGGCTGAGATCATCAATCTGGTGGAACGCCCTTTCCCTCTCTGTTAGACTTTCACCCAGTCTCCAGTCCGTCAAAAAATCTTTGAAAACCTACTTCTTTAGAAAAGCATATCAATTAAACTGTGAACAGCTTTCCCTCTCTGCACCCTGATTCCTCTCCTATAACTAAAATCAAAACATCACCTAGCCCTCAATGAATACTATCCTACTAACCTACTTTTCTACCCTGACATTACCTTTTGTGTCACTATACCCCAATCCCTCTAGCATGGAAGCTCATTAAGCATGTAAGCATGTAAGCCCTCAATCCCTTTGTTTCTGTGTGTCCAACTTGTTTGGTTACAAATATGTGTCTGTTAGTCCACCCATTGTACAGCGCTATGTTGTACAGCGCTATGTTGTACAGCGCTACAGCGCTACAGAACTTGTCAGCGATTTATAAATATTAATAATAATCTACATAGGAAATCATTGGAACTCTATTAGACCATCGTAATTAAATAATTTAACGTTGTGACAGCTACTAGAGCTATATTAACCATTTTTTAAAAATGGCAATGTTTTCAGGCCGACAGGATGTGGCACCCAGACCCCTTTATTGAGCTGAAGTGGTTTGGATGCCCAAAGTATCGCTTTAAGCTTCAATAAACATAGATTAATTTACTAGACTAAATACTTATTTACAAAAAGTATTATTTGGGAATAAAAAAAAGAATTAGCAAAACTGCAGTTGCACAAAGAGAAAAACATCTGGAAGAATTTTCCAACTTTTCCATATTCCTGGCATTACAAATTAATTTTTCAAATTACTGCAGCTCACTCTTTCGTTAGTAAATATATTATATTTAATAATAAAACAGTTTTGTAAAGAACCGGTTACATTTGACGTTGTTTGGCTAGCATTAGACCCAAGTACCTTATTATATAATTCTTCTCTTCACTGAGTACATCACTTCGAGCCTAAACCATATCATCTAGCAGGTTTATGTGCTACAGTGAAAATTCAAAGTGGATTCAAAGTAAATATCAAATAAATAACGTTGATCTTAAATTAAATTCTCTCTTTAGTGAATAATATATTGTATGGCGAGGAGTAGGTTTAGGGAGAGGGGCCACTTTTAGGCATAGACAGTTATTTTATTTTTTTTACAATATGAAGGGCTGTCATGTTGTAAAAATAAACTCCATTCAAAATAATAGGAAATACAAAGTTCTTGAATTTGCTGCAAATTCTGAGTGTCCATCTCTCACTGAGCTAGTTAGTACCGCTAGTACATATGGTATTTAAAAGCAACAGTAAGGGGATACAATGCAAATCAGCTTCAATTTTCAATGAAGTCTATTTTAAAAGACATCTTTTAGAATAAAGTCTCTAAACAGATCCATACTGAATTCAATGTGGACTAATGTGCGGAAACCTTGACTATATTCTCAATATGAATCCCATATAAAGTAAATATAGATTCTTCTGTCCAAGCTAAGACAGTTGCAGGAAACATAGTTACATAGCGGAATCATGGGGGAAGCAAGTAGATTTTCGAACATGCACCAAGAACACTTCATCTCATATAGTGCCCCTTTAATTTGAAATGGTTAAAAGTAGACATGTGATTGATGAATCACACAGCTTTCTATAGCACTTCTGATTTATCCTATCAGCAGTGCGTTCTAGTCAGCTTTTACAGTTTCTGGAAGTTGAATTTGTTGTCAGCTTTCTGCTGTACGAAGCTCCCAGCTGAACTACAACGCCCACCAATCTAAGGCATGACAACATGTACAGCACCATTTTTACAGTAAAAATAGAATTCTTGAGAACAGGCGGTGATGGAAGGACAGGTTGGGTTTATGGAGCAAAACAGATTATTATCTAAAATATATTGCATCCACCATGTGTAGAACATCAAACAGCAGAAACATAGCAAAGCATAAGCAATGATAGATGAATAAACTCGCTTTTATTTTGTTATAAATTTTGGTTTCAGTAGTAGAAAATGTATAGTATAAAGTAGTATAATATTATTTTACTCTTCACATTCTGGTTCAAAAGATTATTTTATCATTGCACTGTTCCAGTGTAGCTAGATCATTAAATAATATCTTGCAAACTGATTTTAAGTATTTTTGCAAATTAAATAGATGATACATATGGTATTTAAAAGCAACAGTAAGGGCATGAGGACATCCAGCGTCAATCAAATCCCCATAGGAAAGCAAATCCCCATAGGGAATCCTAATGCGAGCATGACACTTGTCGCGAATGCGCATTAGGTCTCCCTCTCCGGAAAACGGCTTTGTTTTTCAGGAACTATAGAATCCATTTTTTATTATTATTATTATTATTGTCATTTATATAGCGCCAACAGATTCCGTAGCACTTTACAATATAATAAGAGGGGGGATTTAGCTATAAATTGGACAATTACAAGAAAACTTACAGGAACGATAGATTGAAGAGGACCCTGCTCAAAGGAGCTTACAGTCTATAGGAGGTGGGATGTAAAACACATAAGGACAGGAGGTAGCAATCAAACAAGGTGGAGTGAAGCAGAGCTGGAGGAGAGAGTAAAGCACTGCCCTATAGGAGAGAGCAAGAGACAGGTATGTGAGGTAGAGGTTGCTCTGGGAGGCCATAAGCTTTCCTAAAGAGATGGGTTTTAAGGCATGACTTAAACGATTCAAGACTAGAGGAGAGTCTGATGGCGTTAGGCAGACTGTTCCACCAGTCAATAAAGCCAAACTGGCAAGGGTCTCTAAGGGAAGTAAAAGTGAATTTAAGGAGAATTTAATATTTAAGGCGAAAGTAGACGAACTGGAAGCATAGCTTACTAGAACTTTTTTTCCGGTTTGGCTATTTTGGCCTTAAAATTAAAAATTACTTTAATTTCTCAACAATTCTCATTTTAGAGAATAAACCTGTTAGTCACCATTCTGTCAGCTGTGTACGTGATGGTCCAATAAACCTGCCTTACCTTTGAACACAGTGAGTGCCTGAAGCCTTTTCTTGGAAGTATTTGTCCAGCTGTCATTTTAAAGATATTTATTGTACATTTTTACTTTAACTAGATGTGATTAAAGTGTCTCGGTCTCGATGTCATTGTAAAAATGATCCCTTGTCATTATATGTGAATTGTGAACATGAAAAATTAATAATAAAAAAAATATATGATTTCCCATTCCGTATGCCCATTGTATTTTCATGATTATACTCGACTCTTTGCCATTTTTATTTATATTCATTTTATTTTCCTCCTCGCACTGGATCTGAACACCTGCGAGCAATTTTGTTATGTGTGATTATTTTGACTGATGAATTGTGGGTAAACTAATTTAGCAACTAATTTGGAAATTTGTTTTCGATAAGCCCACTGCCAACATTTCGCATTGCCCATAAGAAAGAGTAGCCCATGAATTTAAAAAAAAACAAAAAAAAACAAAGAGGATACAGGACAAGAAAAGAATTTAAAGCAAAACTTTAAACAGAGCCAGACTGTTAACAGAGCTGCTTTAACGTAAAAGTTCTAAAAACTATTGCATTTAATGCTAGAACATTTCAGGCAGTGCGACTTTTCTAGACTCCAAAAACAAATAACAGGTGTCTGCCAAAATATGTCCTCAAATCAGGGCCAGATTAACAGCACAGTAGGCCTGGTGCTGACAATTATGACGGGCCTAATTAAAGAATCATATCGACCAAAAACAGTAAAACACTCCCAAGCGTCATGTATCTGATGGAGATGGTGCTGGAGAGAAAGAAAACAGCAGCTATGAATAAATTGAATCAATGAATCTCTATGAGGAAAGTTCAGTGTCTGCATGCAGAGGGAGGAGATACTGAATGTTTGGATGCATTTTAGGCAGCCATGACCCAGGAAGGATCTCTAACAGCCATCCAAGGAGTGGCCAGTGAAGTTATCACTAGGCTGTAATGCAAACACTGCATTTTCTCTGAAAAGACAGTGTTTCTAGCAAAAAGCCTGAAAGTAATGATTCTACTAACCAGAACAAATTCAATAAGCTGTAGTTGTTCTTGTGACTATAGTGTCCCTTTAACTATATTCATTGTCAGCCAGTCCACACAAGTTTTGTTCCCATACATCCCATTTAAGTTTCCATACTTAAGTAAGAGTATGTGAAAAGTAGTTAGGGTTGCCACCTTTCTTGGAAAAACATACCGGCCTTACTAATTTGAATAATTAAATATGTATGTGTGACATTACATGATGTAAATCACAAGTAGTGACATAAGAGAAATGCTGTAAAATCACCCAAAAACTACTTAGTTTGATTATGCTGTATAGATGGATTCCTCCCAGTGCCCCCATGTTTCCCAGTGCCCACATGTGTCGATTACTCCAGGTCTCAGAATTCCTATGTATCACAGTGTCTCAATGCCCCATGTCTCCCTGTGTCCTCTAATATTCCCATGTGTCTATGTCCCCATGTATGTGTCACTAGGACACTAGGAAGACGGGGAGACCTGGGGACACGGGGAGACCTAGGGACACAGAGACACCAATGACACTGGGAAACTAGGGGACACTGGCTGGGATACATGCGGACACTGGGAAAATAGGGGACACTTGAAGACATGGGGACACAGACACTAGAGACACTGGCTGGGGGACATGGGGACATTGAGACATGGGGGCACTGGGAGACATGGGGACACTGAGACACCACGGCCACAGACACTGCTTGGAGACATGGGGACACTGAGACACTTGAGGCACTGGGAGACATGGAGGCACGAGGAGACATGGGGACAGTGAGACACTGGGAGAATAGGGGGCACTGAGACACCAGGGACACTGGCTGGGAGACATGGGGACACTGGGAGACATGGGGACACTGTGTCCCCATGTGTCTGTGTCGTAATGTCTCCCAATGTCCCTAAGTGTCTCAGTGTCTGCCATAATATCTCCCAGTATCCCTTATTGTCTCAGTGTATGTCTCCTTGCAGCCTTTCCCCCATCCCTTACTTCCCTGAGCTGCAGGCTGTTTCTGCAGGGTGGGAGTTGCTGTCTGGACTCTCTGTAGCTGCACCCCTGCAGATCAGTGAGTATAGATAGGCAGGGAGGGATATGCTGGAACTTCCTATCCCTGCCTGTCTCCACACACCCCTACTGGCCAGTGCTGGTATAGCATAGTAATCTCTTGTTTATACTGAGAAAAATACCAGCATTTGTATTGCCAATATCACTGCAATATTGGCACCAGCCAGGCAGCCTCAGATACTGGCTGTGCCAATAAAATAAAAGCTAGGTGGAATCCCCAAGAGTAGTGTGTGAAAATTTTTTTTATATATATATATATATATATATATATATATATATATTTTTTTTTTAAATCAATGGGCCTATTCCATGGGCCTGGGCCTGGGCCTGGAGCTGCCGCGCCATCAGCCCCTATGTTAATTTGGCCCTGCCTCAAATAATTATTAAATGTCAAGTGATATCCAAACTCAGTTTTTGAAAGTAAACCATTAAAGCCAATATTCACAGATGACTTTCCAGTGGATTGATATTATTCATCGTTGACCCGTAGTGCAGTCATGAAGACACCAGAAGTTTTCAGAATGTCCGGTGTGGTCGTTGGAAGAAAAGAATGGGCGCCTGTATTTTTTGTGACTAACACTTCCAATATATTCCCACATCGCCAGACTATGGGAGCTGAAATAAAGTGAAAAATAGCAGACTCACTCCAGCTTTTCTCATATATCACGGATGTAGGTGTAGGTTCCCATTGTTGTGCAAGAGATGAACCTGTTACAGCTGAGATAAACCAGTTAGAGCCCATAAACGGCCATTTATGTAAAAACTGCATCATAGTGCAATGTTTACTGGTATTGTTGTCTATTTAAATCTTAGTACACGTGGATAATGGTATCATGTTTTTAAGGTTATAAGAGATATTTGTGAAATTATTTAATCAGTCTTGCAGTCCAGAAAATGAATCCTTAACTCCTCATAAACTTCATGAAAGGATTTTCTAAATATTGAATAGTATTTGGGAGAACATAATTGGCAAACAGGTTAAACTATGAACTATTCCATTCCCTCCGAGTTTCAGAATGTTATATATCACTCCTTGCGGATCCCTTTATCAAAATTTTGACTTGTTGACTTGACATTCGGTAATTAAGTAGGGTAATGTGGAAATTCATTTTTTTTTCCAAGTTTGCGTTTGTGCCTTGAGTATCATTACATTTAAAGAAACCCAGCTGTGTTGACAGCATACATCTGAATTCCAATTTGTTTGTTTTTTTCCACCGTCAATATATGAATTAAAATTCTCAGATGGGGGACTTTTCATTCAAAGTGTGTTCTTCCAATCTTTTCGTTGAGGTATGTTCATCCATTTTTTTCTTGTCTTTAATGCGTAACAAACAGTAAACGACAATAAATAATATCAAGGCTCCGATTTTAAAGCAAATTTGAATCCCTATAAATCTGAAAAAAAGAAATTTATAAAATATTACACTTATGCTACATAATACATATTTATCAAATAAAAAGAGAAACGTGGACTATCACGTGTTTGCCAGTCATCTTTTTCCGTGATTTCTTGGACATGCAAGGAGAATTATTGAACATTTTGAATTTGCATTAGA